CTACCCGGGGGGCGGGGCTCGTTCAGCCCATCATAGGAATGAATAAAGAGGGCGGGGCTTGGTGTGAATGTGGGCGGGGCTTCCATACTGGCTTCACCAATAGGAAGGAGTGGGTGGGCGAGGCTTTCTGGCACTGGGGGCGTGGCCGTTGTAAAAGGGGTGGGGCCTAAATGGAGCAGGAGGAGCCATAGGAAAGGAGGAGGGGCCGAAATGGGGAGTGGGCGGGACTTATGTGGAGTGGGAGGGGCATAAAGTGGGAGTGGCCAAGGGGTGGCTCTGTGTGGGCATTGGAGGAATGGAGGGTAAATGGGCGGGGTTATAAAATGTGGGAGGAGGCCGGGGAGTGGGCGTGACTTCCGGGGGTGGGCGGGGCCTGCCTTAAAGGGCCGTTGCACCTTGAGCTCCTCGGGCAGGTCGCTGTAGTCGATTTCAATCAGAGCTTCCCGGGCGTAGAGACTGGAGGAGCGTTGAGAGCCGCTGCCTGCTTCCTCCCCACCGCCACTGCCCTATGGGGGGCAGAAAAAGGGGTCTTGCATCCCCCCCCGTGGCCCCGCAGAGCCCGATGTGGGGCACGAAAGGGGTTGGGGGTTGTAGAGAGAACCCTACGGTGCTTTATAAGGGGTTATAAAGAGGTTTGGAGGGGGGGGAGGCCTGAGCATCCAACGGCCCTGTAGTGGGGGGGACAAAAAGGAGCTGGGGGAGCCCTGAGCCTGCAGCGGACCCATAGCAGGGGGCTCAAAAGATGTTTGGGGGCTCCTGAACCCCACGGCGGCCCCACAAAGGGAGGCAAAGAGGAGTTGGGGAGTCCTGAGCCCCAAAATGTCCCGACAGGAATGAGATAAAGAGAGGTCAGGGGGTCCTGAGCCCAAAAACGGCCCCACAGGGGAGAATATAGGTGGGCTGGGGGCTCATGAACCCCCCAATGGCCCCATAGCTGAGGACCAAGAGGCATCCTGAGCTCCCCAGCAGCCCCACAAGGACTCCTAGAGGGATTCAGGGTCCTGAGCCCCAAAATCTGCTCTATGGGGGGAAACATGGAGGGCTTGTGGGGGTCCTGCGTCCCCAAACAGCCCCATAAGAGCGGACAAAGAGAGGTTGAGGATCGGGGCAGTCCTGAGCCCAAAAATATGCCCGTAGGGGGGGGATGAAGAGAGGTTATGGGGTCCTGAGCCCCCAGCGGCCCCACTGTGGGGGACAAAGAGAGGCGGGGGGGGGGGTCCTGAGCCCCCCCAGTTGATCTGGGGACCCGCTTTGGGGGGCTGAAGGGGGGTCACCTCCTCCTGGCTGATGTCGTCCATGGTGCCCTTGGAGAGGGGCAGCTTGATGTCCTGCATCTTGCAGGCCTGCAGCAGGTTGTGGCGGTCGCTGCGCTTCTGCTCCAGCTTCGTCTCGATGGCCGTCACCTCCTTCTGCAGGTGGGTCATCTCCCTGGGGGGGGGGGGTCACACAGTGAGAAGGGAATGGGGCTGGGATACGGCCGGCTCCGCCCACATGCACAGAGCCCCGCCCACTGGCTCATAACCCCGCCCACTGGCTCATAACCCAGCCCACATGCACAAAGCCCCGCCCACTGCACATAGCCCCGCCCACTGGCTCACAGCCCCGCCCAACTGCTCATAGCTCCGCCCACTGGCTCATAACCCCACCCACATGCACATAGCCCCACCCACATGCACATAGCTCCACCCACTGGCTCATAGCCCCACCCACTGGCTCATAGCCCCGCCCACTGCCTAATAGCCCCACCCACTGTCTCATAGCCCCGCCCACTGGCTCATAACCCCACCCACTGGCTCATAACCCCGCCCACATGCACATAGCCCCGCCCACTGGCTCAGAGAACCCCCTCAGGCGCGTAGCCCCGCCCACTGATCCGAGCCCCTGCCACTGGCTTACAGACACACCCACTTGTTCCAGGCCCCGCCCACTGGCTCATAGCCACGCCCACAGCCCCCTGGCCCCGCCCACAGGG